CTGGCAGAAAACCTGGCCATGCTCCTTCATCCACCAGGGCCTCACTTGCTTCTTTCTCTTCCTCCCTTACAGATGCCCTGACCATGAGCACCACTTTTGCTTCAACAACCATTCCAGGTTTGTGTTTTTAATTCTATTTCTCTGAGGCATTACTTTAGAGGAGAATTAATTACTATTTAGTAGATGTGAGGTGCGACATTTGCATTATGCAATATTTAGGGAAAAAATCCTTACTCATGTTGTTTAAATCCTATACAGGAGACTTTGTCGTTTGAGTGATTCTGTTGCTGGGGATGGATTTCAGAATGTGTTGATGATGAGGGAGATTTTCCTTTGTTTCTTCTCTAATTTTATGGTATTTGGGCCAACATCTTTTACTCAGACCCCCAGGGTCCCCATTGTTCCTGTCACAGGGTGGCACCAACATCCCCAGCACTGGCAGAAAACCTGGCCATGCTCCTTCATCCGCCAGGGCCTCACTTGCCTCTTTCTTTTCCTCTCTTGCAGATACCACAACCCCACTCATGACCACAGAAAACACTACTCCAGGTGGGTCTGAATTTATCCTTGTTTTTCTGGCCATTTCTTTTCTGAACCTGGAAGTGCTGCAGAGGTTGGCCTTTGGTCTTCTGTGTGGGAGAGCAGTGCCTGGGACAAGCACGGCCTGTTTTGGAGATGTGTTCAAAAATTCTGAGTTTCTTTACTCCTACAACAGACAAACATCCTGCTGAGATGTTGCTCACAATCTCCCATGTGACAGGGTGGCACCAACATCCCCAGCAATGGCAGAAAACCTGGCCATGCTCCTTCATCCACCAGGGCCTCACTTGCCTCTTTCTCTTCCTCTTCTACAGATATCACAACCACGACCACCACTACGGGCACCACTACTCCAGGTGGGTCTGAATTTGTCCTTGTTTTTCTGGTCACTTCTTTTTGGAACCAGGAAGTGCTGCAGAGGCTGGTCTTTGCTCTTCTGTGTGGGAGAGCAGAGCCTGGGACAAGCACAGCCTAATGAAGCCGATGGTGGGAGTGGTGGAACCCATAGAGCATTGCTTAGTCCCCAGCAAGAGAAGGTGCCTGTGTGCTAGAGGGTCTTCCCTTTTTTTCCTTCTCTGATTTCATGGTATTTGGACCATGATATGACTTTCCCTGGCACAGATATGGCTGAAGTCTTACTGCAAGGGTCAGTCAGAATTGTCTGAAGAGATCATCACACCTGTTTTCTAACTAAGAAGAGAACAACAATTCAGTTTCCTTTGAGATTTAACCTCCTTTTGCTTTGGCTTGGTTGTATACAATATATTTTAATTTATTATAATTAAGTCTAAGTGAATCACATCTAAATCTTTTTTTTTTTTTCAGACACAAGATTTTTTTGTGGTAACCTCTTTTTAACTCCCTCCGGGACATTTGAGAGTCCTTATCCTTTGAATTATCCAGAGAGAGCAGATTGCTTGTGGGAAATACAAGTAGCAAATAATTTTCGCATTATGCTCACATTCCAAAGTGTTCAGTAAGTAAACCACTTTCTACTGGGCAATTAATAGATTCCAAATCTCAACTGCATCCACAGTTCCTGGGCACATTTCCCATCCTCTAAGTGAATGATAAATATACACGGGAAATATGTGAATGCAGAATCTTATTTTATTGTTTGTTCAGCATTGAAAAACCAAAGTTTACCAAATGCATTTCATTATATGTTCAAATTTCTTCCTCAGGTTGCTGGGTGGATGCCTGTATGACTATATTGAAATCTATGATGGGCCACCCAATACTTCACCTCTACTTGGAAGAATTTGTTCTACTTCTAAACTCACATACAGGTCATCCTCAAACTTCATGACTGTCAAGTTTTACAGTGACTCCAAATATTCCAGTGGAAGGTTTCGGGCTCAGTATCAGTCCTTTCCAGCAGACCAGAATACCAGTAAGTTTCCATTCTATTTGTAATTCCATTCTGTTTGTAATGTTTTCTTTCCTCATAAGCTTTTATACACTGATTTTATTTACCATATAAATATGGGTTACTTTTGCTGAAGAAATCCCACATAATTGACATTCCAACTTGAATTTTGCAACTAATTATTGACCGGTCACTTTCAGACAATAATTATATTTTTTTCTTAAAAAAATCTTCAGGTATCAATTTAATTGCCTCTAGATGTTTTCTATGATGTTTTCTAAATTCATATTTCTTTGTATCACATTGTAATTCATATATGTTTTTGTACATTTCTGGGCAAATTTTCATAGAATCATAGAAATATTGGTTAGAAGGGACTTTTGGAGGTTTCCTTGTCCAACTATTCAAAGCAGAGCTCTTGCCAACACCTGGTCAGGTCCATTATGAACTTGTCTAGCTCTGTCTCTAGAAATATTCAAAGGATGAAATACTCAAAGCTACTTCTCTGGGTGACCTGTTCCAGCACTGTCCTGCAGTCCCAATGCTAAGGTGTATCTCAAGCACACTCACAACCTCTCCAGCACAAACATTTGGCTCTCTTGTCTTTTTAACTGCTTTTCAAGAGGCTGTGTGTTGCCAGTAGGTCCTTGTTATCAGACATCTCACTCCACCAAAGGCCAAACTCTCCATGGAACCATTACTTTTCATGTCATGGGCTCAGTGAAGCATCATGGAGACAGTATCAGGATCCCCTCCCAGCCAAGCTGTGTTTCTGTAAACCAGTCTGAAACTTCAGCTCTACGCCTTCCACAATATTTTTCGGATTCTTATTCAGGAAAAACTCCCACTTCTTATCATTTTTGTGTGAGTGGTGATATAGGCTCAAGGTCTCAGCAAAAAACTATTTTAAGCTACATGTTTTTTGCCAGGGGAGTAACTGAAGGTCAGCTGAAGTATGTCAGAGACTATTGCTTCCTCATATCTAAGTCTAAAGTGTAAAAGTAAGCAGTTTGGCTTATCTCTAAATGATAGCAGGGACTGTATTTGTTGAAGTTGCAACATGCAAGCATTATCAAGTGCCTGGAACCACTAATAGTTCATATTTTCTTCCCTAGCCCTTGCGTGCTACCCAACCTCCATGCGCGCAGTTGTGGACAGACACTATCTCCAGTCACAGGGCTACTCAGTGAGGAGCATCAGCTTGCCTGACCCCAACTGTAGACCAACAATCACATCAACAATGGTTATATTCAACATTCCATACAGTGGCTGTGGCACGCAGAGACAGGTTGGTGTCAACACATTTGGGAGAGCTCTGGGCATGGAAATTTAATAGACATTTAGAAAATTGTCTTGAATTGCAAAGGGTGTAGTAGGCCCCAGGTATTCAAAACACAGAAAATAATCACATGTTTCTGGAGGCTAAAGTTTGTTAAATATTCCTATTTATCCTTTCCAGGGTTTAGGAAATCCCTGTGTCTATTTCAGAGTGGTGTTTTAGAGAACAAGAGTAGAGGGGAGAGTTAAGTGAGCAACCCCATGCAGATGCTTAGGTATTTTTGAGTATGACATGTCCTTTCTGAGTAATACTAAGACCTGGCAAATACAGAAGTTTATAGCACACACATGGTACACACAGTGAACACAACCACACGTGGTAATTTTGCACTCATTTAATGTGTCAAATAGGCCGACAGCGAAACCATCACCTACTCCAACGTGATAAAAGTGTCTGCTCCTGGTTACACCATCAAAAGGCAGAAGGACCTTCACCTCCATGTCAGCTGCAAAATGATCCAGAACACCTGGGTGCAAGTAGTGTACACGGCCAATGACATCACTGATGTCAGTGAGACCCAGTATGGCAGATACGACGTGGACCTGGCATTCTACAATTCCTCATCTTTCCTGTGGCCGGTGCAGAACTTCCCGTACTACGTTGACCTGAATCAGAATTTGTTCCTCCAAGCATCTCTTCACAGCTCTGACCAAAATCTGATAGTGTTTGTGGACACCTGCGTGGCATCACCGGATCCCAGTGACTTTAGAACCATGACCTATGAATTGATCAAAAGGGGGTAAGAGCTTTCTAAGGAATTACTTTGAAAGTATATGGATACTTCTGAAAGAGCTTAATTTGTGAAAGAGGTGATTTAGGGCCTGTGTACATTGGCTGCAATTCTCAGTACAAATACACTTCTAACAACAACCTTTTGGCAAAGCCTGAATAAAATACAGTATGACAAAGAAATGCCATTCAGAAGTTGCAGTCAAGCATTGAGATTTCACTCAAGGATCTGCACTGAGATTTCTTCTCAAGTGCAGAAATTGAGGTCTGATTTTGTTTGATGAATTTCATAAATGTATGAAATGTAGGGATGTCAATAGCTCTACACTTCCATATATCACAATTAGAATTTTACAGCATCTTAGCTAGAACAGAAAACTGTCTACTCAAAAAGCAAAGAAGTCCCTTAGCCTTTTCTTGTTATTCTAGACACCCAGAACATTTTGCTTAATTTTATACCAAGGTATATTGAGGCACTAAAGAACATGTTTATTAAAAAAGAAAAGTGTATTAGAATTAGTTTTGTGCTTCCAGAGTAGAAAAGGACACTTTCCCTTTCTTCAGCAACCTTCAGGAACCTCTTTGCACACAGGCAAATGCAAAACAGGTTCTCAGCTGAAACACAGAAACCAGTAGAACCACTAGTCATTTTCCAGCTCTCCATGCTTACACAAACTTTGTTGAGCTATGAAATTTCTGTGCTGCGTGCATTTAATAATCCCTCCTCTTGCTAAAAGCGCGCGCTTTTCTTAATCCTTCCGATTTCTGATTTTGTATTTAACTCTGAAACTTATTGCACAAAGGTAATGCAATAGTGCTGCTATTCAAGAGAAGCTGAGTTGGTCAGTGGCTAATCTGCTGGCTTTATGTCTCCCCAGGTGTGTTAAGGACCCTACCTACTCTTTGCACCCCTCACCGCGCGGCAGCGTCGCTCGGTTTTCGTTCAAGGCTTTCTCCTTTGCTGAGCAATACCCGTCGGTTTACCTGCAGTGCGAGCTGGTGGTGTGCAGGCAGAGAGACTACTCCTCCCGCTGCTATCAGGGCTGTGTGAGTAGGCTCAAGAGGAATTCAGGTTCTTCCCAGGGACAAGTGAGTGTTGTTGTTGGACCTGTGCAGCTTCGGGAAGCTCACGCTGAGAACAGGAACACTGGTAAGTTTAAATACCTTAAATAACGTAAGACTCTGTGTGTTACTGTGTGTTTGCACTGCAGTTCAGACATGAAACCCATTTATTTGCAATTCTGCTATGATTCTTATGGGGATTATTATATTTTTTTAATATAATATTTATATTAGTTTTACAAGCTGTTTCCTTTCTGTCATAGTTTAGATCCATTCTTTGTTCTGCACAATGGCAATTGATTCAGTTCTGCAGAAAGGGGGATGAGCTATAACTCATCTCCCTGCTGGATTTATATTAATATTCCTAAGCTGGCTGTGCCTCACTGGCATGTCTCTCATTCATTAATGATCAATCTCTAAGTCCCCTTTGACATGTTGCTTCCCAATGCCTTGTATCCATTGTTGCCACTGTCAGAAAATGGCATCTTGTGGTCTTTGAGTGTAATAATTACAGACTCTCAGATACTCTTTAATTTCTTGCCATAACCTTTTTGTGGGGCCACAGAATCATTTGCAGTAGAACAATTTGGTTTCTGATCTAACCCAGATTACAGCATTGTAATTCAAGTTCTCTTTGCCTAATTACCTCTGAGATTAACCAGGTCAGGAAAACAAATGTAAGCCTTTCTCTTTCTCTTTCGTGCACAGAGCTTGACTCTGACATGCAGGCAAGAGGGGAGTCTCTGAGCTCAGAGCCTGCTGGCAGCTCCCACGTCCCCCTGGCTGCCACCGCCGTGGTGCTGGGAGCTGCTGCTCTTCTCACCGTGGGAGGATTTCTTTTGAAGCGTGAGCTGCAGAAACCCATCCCCTACCAGATAATGTGAGAGGCAACCCAGGCTTGCAGGTGGAAGGATATTTTCACCAGCCATCTGCTTCATTGTTTGGTTTTGCAATCAGCGTGAAGGACAACTCTTACTTGACTATTCCACTACCTTCTTGTCAGAAGAATGTCTTGTATCAAGATTACACCTGATGTTACCATGAACTGAACTTTTAAAGCAGTCTGATTTTAAAACCTAGTCCAAACATACCTAAGGTGTAAAGAAACATTGATTCTTCCACCCTAGTATTCAAATAAGCACCTTCAATGCTGGACATTTCAGAGCATCTCAGTTGAACTCTTGGTTGAGTGTCTGTCTGATTTAGGTGACTTGAGAAAGAACTTTGGCCATTGCTGATATGCAGATAAAACACCTGTGTAACACCATGAGATGCTCCGTGTAGTCCAACAAAAATGTTACTTTGCAGTAAAAAAAATCTCAGTAATGAGCCATAAGCAAAAATGCACATAAGGAAGTATTCCTGTACAGTGATCCTTACTTTGGGGGGTATGGTTCTTCCCAAGTACATGTTTCTCTGAGTAGATGTAGGCCATTTGTAAGATTTTGTGTGGAGGATGAATATGAATCTGTTAGATAAATGTGTAATAAAAGCATGAAAGAAAGTGGGGGTTTTTTTGAGTAATACTCTTTTTTGTGTACTTGCAAACAAAGCACTTCTGTGAATGAACTCACAGCTAACACATTATCAGACTGGAAAATGTGGCTTCTGACAAAGTGACTTTTCTAAGCAACAATTGCTGCTCTTGCTCTCACACATTTCTACACCTGTGAAGTGGGGGAGAGAGAGAATGTACGTAAATTACCATAAGGAAGTGTGTCCTGTCTCTTATTCCCACGCGAAAACAAAATAAAAACAATAAAAAAAGGAAGAATTTCTTCAGAAGAAGCTACTTAATACAGGTGTAAAGGTCATTGGTGTTGATTGAGAAATGCCCTTCTTCAGACTTTCCTGTTTTCCAGCCAGCTATGAAAGAGGTAAGTTCATTTGGAACAGCGTAATGTACTAAGTGTGAGGTGAGCCAGAGTCAAAGTAGTGACGTGTAAGGAAGGTGTGCTGTACTCCAGGGTGACATCCTGACCTGACAAGGAGGATGTGGGCAGCTCTGACAGGAACCATCATTACAGCCTGTACCATTTCTTCCTTCAAGCTGCCTTCTCCTCATGATTCCGGGCAGGCCTCTCATCACTGCTCCGTGTTGTGGAGATGGGATCATACACGTAGGGACTGGCACTGCACACAGAAAGTGTGAGTTTTGTTTTCCACACAGGAGCAACAAAGATTGAGGGCCCTCACCTTCCCTTTGCCTACAGGCACCTTTGAAGGGCAGAACAGGTAGGTGACCTGCCTTTCATCTAGTCCTGTTGTGCGGACCAGAGGTTGTCCAGACTCAGGGGAGTCCAGTGATCTGCTCAGCACAGCAAGGGCTGCATTTGATGACGAGGAAAGGGTCATGCTCAAAGTACATGTGCCTGGTGAACGATGTCTCTGCCACAGACCTTCCTTCCCACCTCCTGTCCTCCCCCATTAGGGAAATCTACCAATAAATCCAGTGGTGGACAGTTCTGATCCACTTGCATCCTCACCACCGACCAAATGCAGATCAGTTTGCAATGACATACTTCACATGACACAGGCAACAGAGCCCAAGAGGCCATCAAGTAACCAAATAAATTAGACTAAACCGCCTAACTGCATCATAATACCTTTCCTTTTTTTCAGAAGTCTGTGGCTACCCTTTTTTCAGTGCAGATACTTTCTTGTAGACACATGCAAAAGAGGATTAATCTTGTTTGTTCTTTCAGTGGTTTTCATTTTGATCTCACCAAAACCAGTATGTCTGCAAAGTGTCCTCACTTTCAGTCAGCAGAAGAGAAAGTGTTTTCAAAGCTTCTTTCACAGAGTGATGTGCTGGGAATTACCTCAAGCTGCCAGAAGACCTTAAGAACAAAAGTCTCTTACTGCAAGAGACCAACCTAACCGATGGGAAGGATGAAAACATGAACTGTAGAGTATTTGTATTAATTAATTAATTAAGATTAATTGGAACATACTATTTATCTATTTCTACATGCAGAGATTGTCTGATAATCAAGATGTCTAGAAATATCTAGATTTTTGACATTAAGAATTCATTAGTGAAGAGTGTAGTGAAGAATTAATCAATTTTGTTCTTTTACCTGGGCAGCTTAAGATGTTTTTTTACACTTGAACCACCCGGGAATCCCTTTTGTGTTCCCCTTCCTCCTCACCCTTTTCAGTCATTGCAGGAGTTTGGAGAAGGATTGGAATCCATCACTTACTGTCGCTTCACTGATTGCAGCGTTTGATTGGCCAGTCAAATATACTGGATTTTTTCTGCTTCTTGTCAAGGTGTCAAAACCAGAAGAATATGAATAGTGAATACCAGGTGTTGTGTACATATCCTCATTCATGGGTAAATGTGGTTGTTTGGATAAAGAAGAAACATATTTACCCTTGTCAATGTTCACTCTCAAACCTTCCAACGTTATCTTTGGCCTCTTGTATTTTACACTTCCTTCTTCCATTCCAGTAATGTTGGCCTTTGTGGAAAGGCCTTCTCTTTCTCCTTTGGCCTTTGGTTTTCATCCTTGATGACTGTCCCTGGAAGCAATAAATTTGTATATGGCAGCAATTTTAACTTGGGATAATTCCATCCAAGAAATGATGGCTGTAGAGGTAGGAATGAGATGGAAAACAACATTCTGGCTCTTCAGGGTAGGGATGCTCATCCCCTTTTTCTTCTTAAATTGTTAAAACACAGAAAGAGAGGAAAGTAATCACTCTGACAAGAGAGTGGTGAACGAGAATTAAGAATTATTTCATGTTGTGGAAAAGCTTTGAATTCATTCTTCAAAGAATGATACAGCTGTAACTGTCACTATGCAAAATTAAACAAGGAATATATTAAGAAATTTTCTTAATAGAAAATCTGAACATTTTCCCCCTTATTTGTTGGTTCAAAGCATCAAAGGAAGTTTTAGAATAAAATTAAGTTGCAAGCTATGTAATTTTCTTAACTCTGGGCAAAATCTACTCATTTTTCTACAGTTTTTGCACAAAAGGTTATCAGCTGACCCCGATCCTCTGACACTTTTTTCTGATCTAACAGCCTCTCAGTGAATTTTGACTTGAGTTTTGGCTTGAAATTAAATGTGCCAAAAAAGAATGGGTTAATTGCGGGGGTGGAGGTGTTGACTTCAATTGCAAGATTCTTCAGAAACTCCCCAGTCACACTTCAACAGGGCCAGCAAGTCTAATCTTATTTTATTTAAAGTATGCTGAAGCTTTAGGACATTCTTGATTCCCCAGGAAGACTTGCCATACTGGTTGGTAAGTCTCTTTTACTGTTTTGCTGGAAGAAGCCCATTTAAGTTTCAAGATTCTACTACCATCCTGATAACGTGTCAAGGAATCTCACCATGAAAGAAAAATACCGAGAATCATCAGCTGGAATTGAAAGGTGTCTTTGGATAGGAGCTCATTCTTTTTTTTTTTTGTACAATGAGATGATTGTGAAACCTATGGTAGCATAAATATTTCCTTCCAGGCAATGGAAAATGTTACTCTTGAGATGTTATCTTTTTGCAAAACCCAGGAAGTTACAAAATATTAAATAACAAATCAAACATATGTTTGTTTCAGATCAGAGGACTGTGGTTGTTTTATTGTTCTCCTGTAGAGAAAGAAACCTGTAGAGCCACTCCCCTTCAGAAATAGAGACTATATATTCTGAGGTCCTTTCTATCAATAGTACTTGGTAAGATGGGTACCAGTATGATTTTGACATGGCTATTCCTGTTGGGTCCAGCAGTTCTGGAGGCCAAAACAGGTAAAAACCACTTAGACTTGTTCCAGGGTGCATAAAAAAATTTAATGCTTGGAGCTTCTCTGTTGATTCCGCGAACAGAATTTAGATTCATGTTTGTATCAGTTTGGGAAAAAGGCTAAAGCAGGAATTAGAGGAAAGAGATAGCACAGTTTTGTTCTACTAAAATGATGAACTAATCACCAGATTGAATGGTAAGAACGTTTTGAACCGTTTAGTGGAGTTCATTTTGCTGTCACAGGGTCATACTGGTCTTAGTGCCTTGCATCATTTCGAGAATTCTGTCTGTGAGTATGTTATGAACAAGTCATTCCTCCAGTTCCAGAAATTTGATCTAAGAATAATGAAAATGATTATTTATTTATTTATTCATTTATTTTCAGTGTATATTTATTTCATAGTATATGCATGCATACATATGCTATATATTTAATATTCCTTGTATTATTTGGTTCTTCTTGGTCTTACGTACAATTTAGTGAAATATAACAAGAAGTAAAGTTTTCTTACTCTAGCACTGTGGGTGAATGATGGACATCTGAAAATGATAGTGAAGAAATGCTTTTAGTTGAACTTTTTTATGGCCATTGAATTCTTCCTCACATGATTAGTTTCTATCTCCTAAGCGACTTGGGTGACTTTTTTGAGCTAAATAGTTCTGTGTATATCTTAGAATAACTGCTGATGATTTTTCTAACCAACCATTTAAACATTGTGATGAGAATTTATGTTGCCATCATCCACCTCATCCAACTTTCTCCATCTGTCCTCTGCTTGCCTGCTGATGAGCCATCTCCCTTTGGCTGCTCTTCTTCTTCTCTCTGCTCTCTGCCTCTGTCTCCTGGAGCAGAGTATTTGCTGTATAATCACAGGCTTTTGTCTTTTTGATACCTTTGAAGTGTGAGGCAGGACTCAATCCATCTCACTGCATCCCCAGCTGATGGCTGTGCTCTCACAGTGATGACAGACCTTGAATGAAAGCAAATTAACCTGGTTTAGATCAGCTTTGATTTCCTAATCCCGTGCTGACTTTTTGCCAGGTTTGCTGTGTCACCTCTCAGAACTCCCGTGAGAGGGATTCAAAAATGTGGAAGTTCAAGTAGATATTTGAAGAAACAAGTCAGATATAAGTCAAGGGGCACTTTTGTAGCTTCTCCCTTTGAAATGCATACAAATCAGGACAAATTTAGTTTGGCCACTGTCTTGACTGTACTTCTAGTCCAATAACAAAGAATCAGATGCAGTGAAGAAATCATGGAGCTGTTAACTCCTGAGATTTGTTTTGCTTTGGATGACTTAGTGTTTAATAACAAGGCAAATATGCACTTGGCAGAAAAGCAAAGGATAACAAGTGCAGTGTGCATGTTTTGAATTCCAAAGTGTAAATCCTGCAAATCTTAAGTTACTGCATTTGTTTGCTCACTTACACTTGGTGGTAAAGACTTTAATAAATGTCTTCACCAAAAATGATTCTCTGAAATCAGGATTTTCATGCTGCTCACAGTAGAACATCTAAACAAGCCAAATGAAAGTGAAAAGCAGATGTGTTTTACCTGAATGAGTGCAGTAATCAGATGTATACATGATAGGTTATTTCTTTATTTCAGAAATCTAATTACACTTCAATTGTATATAAGAAATAAAGCCACTGAATTCCTATTGAAATCTTTATCATCCTGTTGAGACTATTGTCCATTCTGTAGAACATTTGGTGGAATTCTCCTCCCAGTAAAATTACTCTTAAAAACAATAGGATTTGGATTTGATGTGTGGACTCTATGTCCTTAAAATTCTTCTGAAAGTTCTAGAGGAAGAAGAGAAATTCCAGTTAAATTATTTAAACCATGGAGAGAAATACAGAATGAATATTGTCTTCTCTAGAATTCTATGGTTTATCTGAAGGATTCATTGGGCCTAATTTGGACATCATCTTAAGGAAAGTAGTGCCCTGATTCTCATCTTTCAACAGTGCACAATATCCCATGAATTGTAATCTATCTGCCTGGCAGCTTTTATATGGCAGCACTATAGCAGCTCCAAGAACATAAGTTTAGGGAAAAGACACAGTCTTGGCTGTCCAAGATGAATCTTGCTGTGTCACTCAAGTCTTGTCGATCTGCTTGAGCCACTGCTCTGATTTCCCTTCTGCACTCAGATCAACAGAGGCTTTGTATGCCACACTGCAGAGCTACACACACATGCTGCTGGGTAAGATCCAGGTTGAGGGCAGGAAAGCCAGGCTCTGCATCCCAAATTCCAGCAGAATTCAATGCAAATTATGATGTCTCTTTGTTCTTTAGTATAAAACATTTTGACAGCAGTGAGTAAAAGTAATACATAAATATGAAATGTGTTCTTAAAACATTATATTTTCTTCCTGTTTACAAAAAGAACAAAATTTAGTGCTATTTTCTTAATACAGTTTTACTTAGCTTTCATCAAGAGACTGAAATTAAGTTTCTCTCTTTTTCTTTCCTATTATAATTTGCTTATTAGTAAGAAATGTCCTTTCTAGCTTAAATAGTTTTTGCTTAGCCTGCTTTCTGTCTTTACTGCAGCAATCTTGCATAAAATATACACAGCTGATTTTGAGATCTGGAAGAGAGGAAGGAAAAAAAGGTGTGAATAAACCCCTGTCCTTACGAGCACTTAATATTGGGCTGGGCAAGCACCTTTTAGGGCAAGAGGACAGAATACTCCTTACAGTCACTTCTAGCTTATTTGTCTGACTGTTTTGTGCTCGATTCCCTCTCTCCCAAAGCTCCCTCTATCCAACTGGTGAACGGAAGGCACCGATGCGAAGGTCGCGTTGAGATCCGCTACAGAGGACAGTCGGGGACAGTTTGTGATGATTATTGGGACCTTGCTGATGCCCAGGTTGTGTGCAGGCAGCTGGGATGTGGCCAGGCCATTGCAGCTATGGGAAGTGCATACTTTGGGCCAGGCTCTGGCAGCATCCTGCTGGACAACGTGAGGTGCAATGGGAATGAGATGTCCCTGTGGCGTTGCAATCACTCGGGATGGAGGATACACAACTGTGCCCACTACGAAGATGCTGGTGTTGTCTGTTCAGGTGTTGTCACATTTTTCTTTTCTAAACAATTTTGCTATAAATTGCACTCCATCTGTATGTGTAAGCATGGAGGTATGCAGACATTCTCCTACTAGATAATGTTTCATTCATTCGAGACTAAAAGCTATACTAGATATAGGTCCAACATTTTTTCTACTTTATTATGAAGAATTCTCTATCTGTGGAAAGGCACACTCCCTCTGAAAAGGCCTATTCACAGTAAGCACAGTCTGATCTTCCAACAACCCTGTCTTTTCACCCTGCTGACCCTGCAGAGNATGAGATGTCCCTGTGGCGTTGCAATCACTCGGGATGGAGGATACACAACTGTGCCCACTACGAAGATGCTGGTGTTGTCTGTTCAGGTGCTGTCACATTTTTCTTTTCTAAACAATTTTGCTATAAATTGCACTCAATGTGTATGTGTCAGCATGGGGGTATGCAGACATTCTCCTACTAGATAACATTTTGTTCATTCAAGACTAAAAGCTATACTAGATATAGGTCTAACATTTTTTTCTACTTTATTATGAAGAATTCTCTATCTGTGGAAAGGCACACTCCCTCTGAAAAGGCCTATTCACAGTAAGCACAGTCTGATCTTCCGACAACCCTGTCTTTTCACCCTGCTGACCCTGCAGAGCCAGCATGGACTCAGGTTTTCTCACCAGGGTGACATACAAACTGTGCTTACTCATCCACACAAAGCAATTTAAAGCCCCAAGGATCAGATACATATTGCAATATGCAGAATATTAATTCCATCTAATCACCCGGCAGAGGCAATAAGGAAACAAGTAGAAATTAAAGTCAAAGTTATATCTGGTATCAGTTTATCAGGGAGGAATGGGGTTAGGTGAACTCTTAATGGATTCTTTATGGCCAACAGTAATTTTACAGTCACAACCCAAATTGCCATAGCTGACAATTCACTTTGCATTGTTTCCATATTTTTCAAGTTTTTTTCAAGCCTAGGTCCATTAATACCCATTCCCTTTATAAATATCCATCCATTTTGAATAGTCTGTCACCCTGTTGTTTTGTCATGCTACTTGCCCATTATTTTTTAAAATAATGTAGATAATCTGTATCTTATTTTCTCGAGATGATCATGAACTGAGACATGGCTGATGGCAACAATTTGCTCATAAAACAGTTTGTTTTATGTATATATTGCATTTTTCCACATTTTCTCAGGGAGTAAGAGCCTGGTGGGTTGAATCCATTCTAGAGGAAAATGCTACCTACACCAGTGCTTTTTAAGGCTCTTTAAGTGCCATTTATTTACACACCAGTACCTTACCCTGCTTTCATCATCTGGAAATACCACTTCCAAGAAAAATTTTCAACTGGTTGTTAGCCACCTCCATTCTATCCATTGACCCCAGAAAAGATGAAGTACACCATCAGAGTAATTTGCCTTGATTTCACTTTGTCCTTAAGGAACTGGGCTTGTCGGTAACACACAGATGCACCCATTGCACAAGCACAGTCCTCACTTGTGGGGTGGTTTTTCTTCTGGGTTCACAGAAGAGGCTGCTGCAGCATCAACAACCACCGTGGCACCAGTAACAGCAACACTGGAAGCAGCGTTCGAGTTGCCTCTAGTTGTTGAAACTACAACATTCCCAGAAACAACGGAATCTCTAACGGAGACAACAACCTCAGCATCAACAGAGATGACGACATCCCGAGGGGAGACAACCATGTCAGCATTAATAGCCAGCACAATGGAGACACCATCATCAGAGCCACCAACCAGCATGGTGCCACTGACCACCAGTGCAGAGCTGTCATTCTCAGAGATGACCACCACAGTGCCACTGACAACCCTAGAGACGACAACCCTAGAGACATCAACCCTAGAGACATCAACCACCAAACCACTAATGACCTCCCTGGAAGACATGTTCTCTTCACCAGAGATGACCACCACAGTGACATCTAGTTCCTCACCACTGGTGTTCACCCAGCTTGATACAACCACCACAGCAACATTAGCCACCACAGCTGAGGAGAGCAGAGCAGGTAACCCTGTCCACTGTCACTCACTGTTCTCTTTAGTGTGCCTGAACTTCCTTCACAGGCATGATTGTACTGCAGGAAGATTCCTAGAATGGCAGGACAGAGCTCCTGGCTCTCTTCCTTAGTCCTCTCTTAGTGCTCCAGCTCTGCTTGTCATGTCCAGTGCCATGTCCATTGTCATTGAACTAATGACCTCCCTAACAGAGACATCCAGTGCACTGGAGACAACCACCACAACCCTACAAACCAGCACAGCTCTACCACCTTCCACAGCCCCACCAACCTCCACAGCCCTACCAACCTCCACAGCCCTACCGCTCTCCACAGCAGAGGCGTCCACCTCAACAGAGGTGATCCCCGCACTGAGAACAACTACCACAGCAGAGGAGAGCACAGCAGGTAACCTTGTTCACTCTCACTCACTGGTCTCCTTAGTTACCCTCATCTCTTTTCCAAGAGTGACCCCGACCCATGGCATGTGTCCGTGTCAGGTGCCAGGCTGCGCCTGCGGGGCGGCAGGAACGGCTGCGAGGGCCGCGTGGAGCTGTACGACGGCAGCACGTGGGGCACGGTGTGTGATGACCAGTGGGACCTGCAGGATGCCCAGGTGGTGTGTCGGCAGCTGGGCTGTGGGGAGGCCCTGGGTGCCCCACGCACTGCCCACTTTGGCCCGGGCTCCGGCCGCATCTTCCTGGACGACGTGCAGTGCCGTGGGGACGAGCCCTCCCTGCGGATGTGCAGGCACAACGGCTGGGGAGTGCACAACTGTGGGCACGTGGAGGATGCCAGTGTCATCTGTGCAGGTGGGTGGGCGGCAGAGACCACNTGGGGAGTGCACAACTGTGGGCACGTGGAGGATGCCAGTGTCATCTGTGCAGGTGGGTGGGCGGCAGAGACCACTGGATTTTTTGTAATCATTCTGAGTGGCTTCTGGATGTGTCTGCTGGGAACAGCCGTGCTGACCTCCCTTGGGAGAGCCAGGGCATAAAGGAGAGGGTGGGATCTTCTGCTGCCTGGGGCTGGTAACACATGTCATACAAAAGCCCTGTTGTTGCCCACAACCAGGGCACAGCAGGTTCTGCACACTTCCGAGTGTAGTTGGTCAGTGAGGGGCCAAAGAGCAGGATGGTGGGATTGTTTTTTGGGAGGATGGGGCAAGACTGGAAACATGTCCGACTGGTGTCTGGATGGGGGAAAGATAGGATCCATTCTTTTTCCCCCTTTAGTCCTCCAGCTTGGCTTTTCATGTCCATGGCCATGTCCATATCCATTCCATGCACTACCACAAGCCAGCTGCATTCTCTGTCTTTTCATTCACTGCCTTTTCTTTCTTGCAGGCACTCGTCCACCCCCTCCTGCTCAATGGCCACACACAACAGGTAATTGCTGCTCACCCAGCTTACAACCAGTTTTACACCAAGCCCAGCCTGGAAAGAAAAGAGAACAGAGAGGATCTGCTGGTCTGATTCTGCTCAGTGCATGACCACTGGTTCCCTCTGACCCTGCTATCTCCAGGGGGCATGAGTTTTCCCCCTTAGGAGATGGGCCACACTGAATGGATCCCTGTCCTCTCCTCGTCCCGTTGGGACTGAACCTCCTCAGGCCATGGTCACTGGGGCACAACGTCCAAGACAGCTGGGGAGGTGGGGGCTGTGGATGCCAGGCTGGAGTGACCCTGACCCATGGCATGTTCCCGTGTCAGGTGCCAGGCTGCGTCTGCGGGGCGGCAGGAACGGCTGCGAGGGCCGCGTGGAGCTGT